TTTCTCTTTGCTTCATATTATTATTTTATTGTAAGGCCCACCTCCCTGAAGCCATCATCAATTTTTCATGTAGTCTTATGTAAACACACCTTTAGCCACAAGTTGGCCTCGATTTCTGAGGTTAAATATCAGATTTTGACGCTGTTTGATTGTATTATGTCCTTAGCTTGTCCTTTAGCTCTCTCTTAGAGGGACAAGCTGTGTGGGCCTGGTTGTGAAGACATTTCAGAGTAAAATGAATGGAAATTTTTTCAAACTAGGCCAGTGTGCGGTTGTTCCTTGGTTCGTATCAGGACATTTGGTGATATTTTAGGCTGTAGGCAAAAACCAGAGAAGTGTTTATTTTGAGAAATGTTCCTACCTGACGTTCTTCTCTCAGATCAGATCGCTCTGCTGGAAACAACCATTTATCTATTGATTTTGCTTTTTGTTCGTTATCTGTTGCACATTTTTGAACCTGGTTTCTAGGATAAGAAAAAAATGATGAACCTCAGCAAAAGGAGCACATTTCACAAGATGTCATTGATTACATATATTGATAAAATAACAGGTAGATGTTGGACTTTCATTTAAGTAAAACCTTGCTCAGATGACATTATCAGTCTCTAATGGAAATCATGCGATTGATATGATTGATTACACTCTTATTTTGAAATTGATCACACTGCAGGACTGTTGGAGGTGATAACAGATCCTCTTACTAGTACTAGAAGTACTATTTTTTATTGCACACACTGAATACTCATCATGTTTTGCAACTTTCAGTAGTAGCACTGACCTTCAAACCTGCAGGTTGGTTCATTTCTAGTTATAGATGGTTGCTGCTTTGTCTTGAAGGTCTTAAGAGGTTTTTTCTACATGCACCTCATGGAAAACCTTTTGGAAAAGGTAGTTTTAATACTCTACTTTGCGGGACTATTAACAGTGGCATGTGAAGTCACAATGACCTTGAATGAAGACTGTAGCTCCATTTTGGAGTGCGGTGCTCCTCCGCCGCTGCGCTTGATCTGCTCAGCTATACGCTCATCTATTATTCTTGCTTTGACTTTTTCTTCTTCTGCTGGTGTGTTCATATCGAGACTGTGCTCACAGGGTGTAGGACGGCTCTGGGTCTGTGAACTTTGACAGCCAGTGGAAGGAGGGGGAGGTGTGACATAAAGACCAGAGGGAGGATGAAAAAGAAAGATGGAAAAGAGGTAAAAAAAAAAAAGTGTGAGTGAAGAAGAGAGGAGGTGGAGGAGAAGGAAGGGGAAGAGGAGGATAATGAAGTGGAATGTAAGGGGTGGGGCACCTCTGGTATGTTAGCCCTGTGTGTGTGTGTGTCTGTGTGTGTGTGTGTATGTGTGTGTGTGTGTGTGTGTGTGAGTCTAAACACCCTGCCATGAGTCAGTGAGTCAGACATGCGCAGCTGCTTCAGCTCTCAATCACACACCCGCAAACTGCTTTGAAACTAACTCTGTTGCTCTCTCTTTGATTCTCTGTGTTTCTGTCTCTCTCTGATTCGCCATTTTCCTCGAAGCAGCTGCAGTGAAATGTAGAATCTCATTCATGATTTAAATTCATGGACACATACATGTTAAAATGTGTTTTTAATCACCATAATAAAAGTCAAGAACGTCTTCATTGCAGTTCTGTATGATTTGATGTTGTGTTCATCTTGTTGCTGACATTTGTTGTTGTGGTGTTTCCTGCTCTGAACCTCCCAGAGATCACCTGTCAATCAAACAACGCGGCCAATCCTGACATCTTTTCTTTGGCTGATGAAAAAACACTGATCGTTAATTCATGAAACTAATATCAGCATATGCTCATTAAGACATGCATCCATTTCCTCACACCTTTTTCTCATGTCATCTGGTAGATAGCAAAGACTAACATCACCTGTATTACCTGTATTAACTGCCAAGGGACTTAAACCAAAAGTCTTATTGAAGCGGAAGCATCCATAAACCGGTCGTATTAAAGTGATAATAAGTAGCTTTTCCACATTGAAATGTCTAAAAATTACTAGAGCTATGTTATATATGTTATATACTAGAGCTATGTTAATGACATCATGTTGTGGTTGTCTGCCAGAAGCATCAAAATTGACTTTTTATCCATTGTTTTAACCACAGTTTTATGATACACTTTTTAGATCTTGGTCATTTTAACCTAATGAAGGATTTCAGTCATCAGATATCTGAATATTACGTTATGAGAGAAATAAGCTGAGCAAAGGTTAGCGGCAGCTCAGCTCGTAGCCCCTCCAAGAATTCTTGTGTCTGCCGAACAGTGTTGGAGAAAAATTGATTTTTAACATTAAACTGCTTTATTCAGTATTTCTACTGGATTTAATGCCCTGGTCCGTTGCTTTGCGGAAAATTCAGCTCCTGGTAAGAACTTCAACAATTCGCACTGAAGGAATCCTGAAGGAGAAGCTGATTGCAGTGACGGCAGCCTTAACTCTCAGGATCCCAGACTACTTCACGACGTCACCAAACACCGTCTTTTGTTATTGTCTTTATTGAGAGACCTCTAGTGGCAGAAAGTGACATATTGTGTGTTTAAAGTTTCTGACAGCTTAGGTAATTTTGTGATTTGTTAAATCAAATTGGATTGACTTAACAGGGCAGTTTGCTGCGACTATTTTGCTGAGAGGAGGAGGTTTCTGTACCATAACAGTTAATGTTAATTGTTAATATGAAAGTGTAAATGTGCTGCCACTGAACCAACAGACCTGCAGCAAGTGCCAGTTTCAAAGTCTTCAGGTAAAAGAGGAGTTGGGTTTGAATCCGTTGCTCAAAAGCAGCTCAGCAGTAGTTGTAGTAGCGGGAGGAGAGAAGGCTGCTCATTGCCCTCCCACCTCTTCCAGACCAATCTCTCACCTACTTCCTCCTTTGACTTTTCCTCCTCCTCTTCATCTTCTTCCTCTTCCTTCCTGCCCCCCAGCAGACTCCCCTCCCTCCTCCTCCTCCCTCCTCCTCCTCCCTCCTCCCCCATCCCATTCTTTGTCATCTCTTTGGGTGAATTCCCAGCTGACTCTGTTTGTCATGGCAACCAACCAGTCGTGGTGACTGGGCCTGCAGCTCACACTTCCTGTGTGTGTGGCTGCGTGTGTGTGTATGAGGAGACGCATGCGCAGTGTGTGTGTATGTGTGTAGACAGCGACTGGCTGCATGAGCCTGTCAGCCTGGATTAGAGTCAAACACACTGCAGCGATGCCTCTTTTCTTTCTTTCTTTCTTTCTTTCTTTCTTTCTTTCTTTCTTTCTTTCTTTCTTTCTTTCTTTCTGTCTCTGCAGAAACAATAATAGCACCATCAGATATTTTAATTAAAAGGAGAGATCTCTTTAACTACTGGAACATGCATGTTTAGGGAATCTACTGTGGCTGTGTACTGTGGCTCTCTCTCTTTTCTCTCCTACTGTATGTCTCTCGCCCCCCACCCTGCCCCACCCCCTCACTATGTAACTCAATGTGCTATTCTAATATGGCAGGAGAAGGGAGGGGTGGAAGGGGGTTGGGCTTTAAATCTGGCCTATGATCCTGTGGTACAGCAGGGAACGCTGCTATTACATAACTTGGTGTGTGTGTGTCTATGTCTCTGAGTGTGCGTGCATGTGTGTGCTGAGCTACAGTATGTAGTGGTGAGGCTCCCATTGCAGCTGCTCTTGGTTTCACTGTATGTTTTTTTTTTTAAATCCCTTGTTGCAGTAAGCTTGTTGCATTTAAGCAGCTTCTTGAATCACCACGGTTAAGCTGTTGGGTTTCAGTCTGAAAACTTCACTGGTGAATGTACAGTGTATCTGAGTGTCAGTGAGGTGAGATCTGACACTGATAATCTCATGTTGAGATCCAGAGGTGCTACTGGATTTTATCAACATACAAAAAACCAAATAATCAGGTGTCAGGTATCAAAGACTCACATTTCACCAGTTTAGAGAATTGTATTCAAAACATGTTTAATTATTGAGGATGATTAATATATTTATGTCTAAGTTATCAGGCTCTGAAAAAATTTCTCCATTGCCTTCTGGCATTTTTGATCCACCCAGAGGGGTTCCATTTAACACTGATGGCCTAAAGTGGACCGGCCCAAGTGGTTTGCTACCATGACAAACCTCGTGTAAAGTAGTAATTGTCACCAAGTGGGTCAAACAGGACTAAATTATTAATTACTAATTATTAGACGGTGATCAGAAGATTTTATACCGTGGATTATATTTAGAAATTAAATTTTAAAAGTTCAGTCGCTGTTAACCAGACCATTATAAACTGTTAAACAGCTAGCCTGCTAACTGCAGTGAGTGTGGTGTAGCGGCACATGAACCAGTTCTCCACCTGAGCAGAACAAGACCACCTGTCACCAGCTGCAGTCCAAGATGGTGGAGTTACAGTCTGTCCTCAAGAAAACTCAGAACTGAACTTTCACATCAAAACACTTACATATAGCACCTCGTAAATAAATAACACGCTGTCCAAACACATGCTCCATATGGTCTAAGCAAAAAGTGTGATTGGTTGTGACACCAAAGAAGACAGAGCTGTCGGAGAAGAATAGTGACGAGCAGACAAACATCTGAAAGAAGCATCAAAGCGATGGAATAATACGAATCACAACTTCCAGAGCGGAAACAGAATGCAGATGTGACTCAGATTGTGGATTGCTATTCTACCCAAAAAGATCACCATGTGATCGTTTGGCCAGATCACTTACCCCTGTTCTGGATGATGGTAGAGCTGAAATGATGGGATCATTAACGATCTATAAGAAATTAATTGGCCAAACGTTTGCAGGATTTGCTGCTTTTTTTTGTCTTATCTGATAATCAACTGAAATTCTGGGGTTTTGGACTCTTGGTCGCACCAAACAAACTATTTAAGTATGTTACTTTCAGCTCTGGGAAACTGGAAAACTAATCAGTTGACAGTTTTAGACGGATTAAACAGTTGTTATGTTTCTGTATTCTCAGCCCGGTGACAAATTAACTCCTGTCTCTCTGGTTTTGTGTTTTCCAGATATATGTTCGGTAAAGGTGCGAAGCGGAAGCTGGACGAGGATGAAGAGGGGCTGGAAGGCAAAACGCTGGAGGCGTCGGTGGCGGGAGGGGGAGTAGGCCTCGGTCCCGAGGGCCTATCCAAGGTATCGTACACCCTGCAGCGCCAGACCATCTTCAACATCTCCCTGATGAAGTTGTACAGCCAGCGGCCACTTGGCGAGCCCAGCCTGGAGCGCCGCGTCCTCATCAACAACATGCTGCGACGCATCCAGGATGAACTCAAGCAGGAGGGTTCCCTGCGGCCGCTGCTCCTGCCACCGTCGCCACCACCCGACGATCCCATGGACGAGGGCTTCCGTGAGGCGCCACCCTCCTTTGGTGTTTTGTCAGCAACAGCGACAGCACAGTTGATGCCGGTGATCGCTCCGCCGCCTTCACCCCACCCAATGGTGCCTCCCAACTGCCAGGCATCCCAGGCCTGCCCCAGCCGTGTGGAGGCCTGCCTCGCCCCTCTGGAAGCCTGCCTCACCCCAGCCTCTTTACTGGAGGAGGACGGTGGAGATTCAACCTTTTGTGCTCCATCCCCACCCACCCCTCCTCTGTCGCCTCCCCCAGCTCAGTCTCCCACATTACCTTCGGCACTTCTGGGCCAGGCGTCCCCCAGGGTCCCTGTGCCTGCCTCGTCCACTGACGGTTTCCCCTCCACTCTGAGTGACATGGAGTTGGGTCCTCCCACAGCCATAACAAGGACAGCAGCAGCTAATACTATGACCGTGACTACCTCCCCAGCTCCCACGCCACTCACCCGGCCCTCCCACTTAGCACCCCTCCTCCCAACACCCTCCTGCCCACCCAGAGACTATAGGACCATGGGTGCTAAACCAGAGGCAGCTGGCGTCTTGCTGGCAGAATCTCGCTGTGCCGAGCTCCGGCCGATGGACACTCTGCCCACACTGCCCCCTGGCGGCTTAGTAGACATTTCCTCCTGTCCTTCCTCCCCTCCTTCCTCTGCCTCACCCTCGGGGTTTCTCTCAGACTTGGCGCTGGACGACGTCCTGTTCGCCGACATCGACACGTCCATGTATGACTTTGACCCCTGTACGACAGCAGGGGCCGTGGGCGTGACAGCGGGCGGTGGCCTCGCCAAATTGTCACCAGTGGTGACAACAGACGACCTCCTCAAATCGCTGACGTCACCGTACAGTGGCTCCGCCCCCCAGGTTTCAGCCAATCAGCCTTTCAAAATCGATCTGACAGAACTGGACCACATCATGGAGGTGTTGGTGGGTTCGTGACTTGCGGACGCCACCGCCACAAACACACAAACAGTTTAATCCGCAGAACAGACTGGAATGAAAATTTGGGATCGCTTCGGGGGTTTTCTTGGTTGTTGTTTTTATGTTTTTTAAAAAAAACTTTCTTCAGAGGTCGGTAATTGTAAACATCGATGGTGATGTCAATTAGTACTACTATGACAACTACTACTACTACACAACACTGTGCATGCACTGTGCTCGCCTTTCCAAATATGGAATGAAGTAACTGGGAAACAAAGACACAATTAAGTTTGTATTTCTATACTTGTGAGGACCTCCATTGACTCCATTCATTCCCAAACCCTAATTTAAACCTAATCCTAGTTCTAATCTTTAACCTGAACCTAAGCCTTAACCCTGAGGAGTAACTGTACATAGAGAAACAGGAGGACCGGCAAATTGTCCTCATTCTTGAGGATTTTGCAATCATTATATCCTTGTGAGGACTTCTACTTCTCACAGGTAAAGAAATACGAATAAACACATATAAACATGACACACACACGCACACACACACACACACACACACACACACACACACACACACACACACACACACACACACACACACACACACACACACACACAATTCATGGCTTTTAGCAGATGAGTGCCTTTCAAAATGACCACTTATTCAATTCCTGTTTTTTACAGTATTTGTTTTTTTTTTCTAGTTCTTTTCACTTTAACAGCCTAGAGAGGTCACTCCTCAATGTTTTTTTAATTTATTGTATTAAAACTATAAGTAAGTAAGGTAATTTCTCATGATCAAATAATAATTATTTAATCTTTATCTTATTAGAGATGCTATGTTTTATTTGTTAAGCAAGCATAAAAAGGTTTTACGAGAAATACATTATTTTACCAGTGTGCTACATCACATATTAGCTCGGCTATATAATTATGCTTTGGGAATAGCTCTAAAACACATCACCTGTTTGTTCGTTTGTTAAACTTTTTTGGTAGAAAGAGATTGCATCACATCATGTCTATGAATTCAGTTCAGGACTTATGTTTTTTTCCTTCCTCCTCCTCATTGGCCAGCACATATAACTGTGCTGGATGCTATTTTACATGAGCTTGGTCATATGGGCTAGTTATCATGCTTCAATTACAGCAGAATTCAAATGAGCTGCTCCCACAGGAAAGCTAGATGTGTTTACATTGGAAATGAAGCGGCAGCAGTGCCAGCACCAACTCTTGCCTCCCAGTCAGATGTAGGTGATCTGAAAAGTCTAACCTAAAAAACAGACTTTAGGCTCTAAACACGTAAAATTTGGACTCAAAACAGAACAGCTATCACAGATTATAGGGGATGTCATTGTGGCATTAGCGTGACTCCATAAGATTTGTAAAAATCACATGAAGAAGATTGAATATTTTAGTAGAAATGCCTTATTTCTGCTTGGGTTCATACAGAATTAGCAACATGAGTGACAGACAAATTACAGCACAGCATACAGTATTACACACACACTGTATTTGCAGAGTATGTTTACTTGTGTTTAGAATAGGAGCCCGACACGCCAAATCTCAGAGCTCTGCTCACTTCTGTACATCGTGCAGTAGAATTTGAAGTTAACCCTAAAAGCTCACAGACGATAGCAGGAGGGCTAAAATCTGTCTCGCAAATAATTTGAATGTGTATTTCCACTCAAGTAGGAAACCCAAATGTCAGTGTTAACCTGATACTGCAACCATGCAACATCAAAAGACTACCGCCCTCCTGCACAGCCCACTATGCATGATTTTTGATATAAAAAGACTAAATACGATGCCTAAGTCCATCATCTAAGATAAGGGTCTGCATGTTTGTTATCCCAACTGACCACACTTAAACAGTTAAATAGAATAGAAATTCTCAGTTCATCAGTCAAATGCTGTGTCTACAAGTTGAGCCTTTTTTATGCTATCTACATACAGTATGTCATCTGTTGAAGTTCTTCACACAAATTTCCCTTATCCACTTCACAAATTTGGCTATTAACTGTGATGCTCCACCTCAGAAGGAGTAAGCAAGCATGGAGAAGCTTGTGAAAACTGCTGTATCACAGTCACCTCATCAGACTGCTGACCTTCATTTAGGATGAACTGATCTCCTGCCACACAACAAACTTTTGCAAGAAAATTTTTTTGTGTGTCACATATTTAGCCATAATATCCACAGAGCCCATTCTGAAATGGACCAACACATTGGCACCACAATAATTGTATTTTGATGGTTAGAAAAGGCCTGCAGTGGACACGGGCATTTTGCAATTTACAGACGTAGCATTGTTTCTTTTCAAAGTAAAACTAGCTGCAGAATCACAACATAGCACAGATTTAAGCTGCAAATACACGGCTTGTTTTTAAGAGTTGATACTGCAAAACGAAAAGTTGTAAAATGCCTTTTGTTGCCGTAAAATTTAGAAAGACAGAAGCAGTGAGTTAGCAAACGTCAGACTCATCACCATGCCTCTTTTAAGGTAGTTAGTGCAATCAGATTTTAACTAATAGGCTCAAATATTAAAAGACAGATCTACCTTGGGATACCTGTACTGTTGCTTCGCCTTGTCTTTTCCCTTTACGCTAGCTTCAGTGTTGTTGTTGTCTTGAAGTGAAATTGGATTCTTCAATTGTCGAATATCAGTTTCATCATGGTTTGATGTTTAAAGCTGCATTCATTGATTTTTTGCCACTAGGGGGCAATAGAACAAGCTCAAAACATAACATTTGGCATGTTATCACCCTATAAAGCTGTTAGCTAAAAATGCACACTGGTGTTAATTTGTTATTGTGTCTCTGGCCCCCTGAAAAATTCAAGTCCCATATTACTTAATCACTTAATTCTCCTTTTTGCTCTGTTTTGGTCTCCAATAACTCCAGAGGGAAACACTCTTCAGCTGGTACATTAATGCTCCACTCTGTTCACCAGCTAATCATTAGCTTTCAATTTGTTGTTGAGCTGTGAGCCACAAAATGAGAACGATGTGCTAAGAGAAACTAAAATGTCCCATAGAGTGGAGAGGAACTGAAAGTATGATGACAATTATCTGTTAGTTCATCAATACAAACAGCACCTTACACATTATGCATAAAAATGTGGATCCAGTAATAAAAAATAAAATATCGATGAGTGCAGCTTTAATGTTCACTTCAGCCTTGTATCTTATCATTATTCATATCATCTACATTTGTCTGGCTATTCACAGCAATATATGAAAAAAGACACCACAATGTGACAGAAATGCAAGGTACCTCACCAGTAGGTGTAGGAAATAATGTAGGGTGGACTTTTCCTTCAGCAGTAGTTAAGTAAAAAAATAACACAAGAAACCCTAAACACCTCTGTGTCTACCAACACAGCCTTTCCATGGTGTAAAATGGCATGTTAATGATATTTCTAGCAGAGGCCCCAGTCTCAGTCATTGCTAATGGAAGAGAATATGTCATCTGCATTATAGTCTTACTCATCTTACTGCGTTAGACAACAGCAGTGAGGCTAGAGTAACTTTAAAACCTGTTCCAATGGAAGACCATTAGTTTCCCAGAATGCATTTGACCTCAGCTAGTATGTAAACAAACTGCATCGTAACAGAATTCAAAAGCAGAGTGCGAGCCGAGCAGATAGCAGCACCAACTAATACTGTTTGTAGACGACTGTGTCTTGTTTCTTTCACTATGTTTGAAATTTGGAGTGCTTGTTTTTTTTTTTTTTGTCAATGAAGTTATTTATTCATATTGTTTTTTCTTCTCTGTGTAAATATATTTATTTTGGATGTGAAATGAACATTTGGATTGTAAATGCGTGTACAGAATGTGTGGTAGGAATGTACTTCAGATAGGAATGTATCTGAGTGTGGAATAATGGGTGGAAGCCATTTTTTATATACATAGGTAGTTATATTATCTTATTTTTTTTCGTTTGTTGCTATGTTATTGATTTTTGTGGGTCAGCAGCCACGTTTTACATCTTTTGTACTCTTTTGTTCATCATTTTCCAGTTGAAGGCGAACAGTTCATGCAGCAATACTCAAAAACCCGTCTCCAACCTTCAGATGTCAAGACTCCAAAGCCTGTCATAGACGCTTCAATGCCAAAAGTAATGTACATAGTATGAACAACATTCGAGCTCCTGAGACTTTTTTGATCAGTGTTTGTTACCGAATCTGTTTTAGCGCTGTCTGAGCGAGCAGCAGTTCGCCAGAAGAGGCTGACTGACTGCAGTCGAGGCTGATTCCCTCTACGAAGGCTGTATTTTACACAGACCTAAGAGCTGTGCCTTTTTCTATGCAATAGAACACAGAGAGAGAAATTATCAGCTGTATTGGGATCTAAATGTGGACTGTAGATAAAAATATTTATATATATGTATATATATATTATATATATATATATATATATATATATATTATGTATATATATATGTATGTATGTATATATATATTATATATATATATATATACATATATTACATGAGATAAAATGGACAGTCTGTCTATGAATTTGAAACAGTCTTACTTTTGTAGTTTTATATATATATATATAAATATATATATATACAATAAACTGTAAAAAGAGCAGATGTCTGTTGTGTCGTGTTTCTCACTTTCTACTACTACTTGGAAATTCAAACCTTAACTGATACTGTTTGTACATTGTGTTTTTGGAATTGCCCTAAATTCTTCCAACGTGACCATGATGCACTGTTAAAGCCAGATCGTGATAAAAGCAACAAGGTGAGGGGAAAACAGCCACTGAATTGGTATGATCACACAGTGAATGTGTTTAAAAGTGGTGGATAGTGAAGTTACATCTTGAGGTTGAAGGTTGACTCTCGACCCTGGAAACAGTTGGGCAAAACATTATTAACACGACATGCACTCTGTGTTTCTGAAGCTTTCAGTTGCATCTTGTGGCTGTACTTAGTGGTTGGTGTTTCTCGGGTTTCATTGAGATGGTTTCGTTTGTTATCATGTGACCTGCAGAAAGCATGGAATCACTGTCATGTAATAACAGGTGGTTGTATACAGTATTTATAGTATGAGCTGAGGAAGACAACGAGATTTGGCTGAAAGCTTCAGTAACACCAAGAAAGTGAACCTTGTGTTGAGAATTATATCACAATGATATTAAAATAATAATATAATAATGATAATAAAATAATAACCATAAAGTCACACAATTGCATCAATAGGTACTATTAAGAATGCTGTTTATATAATCATAATATCATTTTTTCATTCAGATGTGAGTACAATCAAGGCATCATATTTGAAAATCCAATAGGTTTGCAAATATTTTTTCAAATGTTCACCACTTCTGATAATAAGCTATATTCCCTCCTCAGATTTCAGAAATGCTTTTCAGCAAAATGTTGTGCCATACCTCAGTTTTTTAAATCTTCAAGAGCACCTTAAGATTCCTTGGACTTGCATATATATATTCTATTTTTATATGTATGGGGTTGGTCATGAGATTGCCATGGCCCAGCACTTAAACAGTTTATGCAATAGTGGCACCTTACTGTACACGTTCAATTTTCAGCTTTTGTTATGTAACCAAGTACATCTTGTACATTTCTCAGTAACACAGATATAGACCCAATAAAGCCTTTAGGGCACTGAAATGAATATTGGTTTAATTTGGCCACAAATTGCCTGATTTTGATGGGCTGTATGATTTGGATGTAGACACACTCGCCCTATAAGTGATAGCACAATCACCACAAAACACACTCGTTACCCAACATCCTTCAGTGAGAAAACATCAATTTAGATGAGTGGCATGAATGTAATGGCTATAATTCTGAAATTCATGCCTATAATTCTGAAATCAAAAACAAAAACCTGTCACAGTTTATTCAAACCCGAACTGTGACAAAAACCTGTAGCTATTGGCAGACAGACACCATGTCCATCAAGGTATTTTGTTCATTTTGTCATTTTATTTTGACCCACAAACTGTAAAATCTAAATATACTGAGGCTAAAAATACTGGAATCAGTCTGCCTAAGTTAAATCCTAGGTATAAAAAACCCCTTAAACCCAGAGAAAACTAAAATATGACCTTATTGTCCTCAATGTTAGCTACAGCCCTGCATCCACACACAGGCCGCACTTGTGTACATTAACCACCAAACATACATAAGATGACTCTCTTCCTGAATGTCTGATTGTTCTCAGAACAAACTGATTTGCATGGGAAACACATGAAATCATCCGATTCTATTCAAGGCTCTATGGTTATTTTAAGAAAGATAAGTGACTCTTTCAAAGGGGTGTTTTTGCAGTACACTAGGTTCTTGTAGAGGAAAATGTCTCCAGGCTGAAGGATGTAGCGGTATATTTATTTTGCCAAATTAATGACACTTTAATACTGTAGACTATGGAGCACCACAACTGACCAGATGCAGTTATCAGACAAGTTGAGAATATAAATGAATACATCATTACTCAAACAATTAAAAAAAATGTGTAAAGAAAAATAAAACTTTGTATGTCGCTAATTTTCAGTCATTAAATAAAACTAGATTGGATATTTACTATTTTCTATTTATCTTTCACTAGCTAATTTTATTTTCAACAGTGCAGCAAAAGAGAGGACTGAGTTGGGCTAGCTTGCATGCTAGCTAACTTGAAACACATGCTGAACTCCAGCCTTTTCAGCTAGCAACATAAATATCTTTATAAAACTACACCACCTAGTGCAGGTAATGCTAATCAATCATATGCTGTGCACTGCTGTAGCATCACTGTGTAAACTCTTGCTACCGTAGCTAAAGTGTTTTATCCAGAAATCTAGGAATAAGATATTATTATATTCTAACTCTTAAGACTTTATGTGTTATATTTAACATTTTGTAGATAATGAGAGAATGTCTGTCTCATAATGTCAAACAAATTAAACTAACTTATAATAAGAATTAGCTGTCTGATTAAAGCTAATGGTTTGCTATCTCTTTAAATGAAAGGTAGAAAACTATTTGTTTTTACATTCCATTTTAATTTTTCCAAATTACAGTATTTGGTGCTTTTAGTTGTATTTTAGACTCATTTTTTACTGCCTATTGTTGTCTGTTTTGAGGCTCCACAGTTTACATCCTTGAGTCATTTTCAAATCCTCACATGGAGAGGAAGGCCTACATGTATACAGGAGTAAAGTGCATACACAAGCGTCATCTGATCAAAATATTTTAGTCAAATCAGTCCAAGTTCAATTGTTACTGTAGTCACATCAGGATCATAGCTCTGACCGGATCACATTTGATCTTTGATAAAATGTAGGTACCGTCTTCTGGCTGTTCTCCATTATAGATTTCAGCCTATGTCTTCTACTGTTTTTTTGTGTTTTTTTTCTTCTTCCAGTTGACAGCGGCACAGGGCCAACATTTGCCACTGTTAAACAGCCATGACTCCTGATCCGCAGGCCGGGGTTATTTCCAGCATTCAGGCCACACAGCTGTGAGGGGAAGGGGAACAGTCTGTCTCTATTGGTGGAGGGAGGGAAAGTTTAGCTCAACTTAGCAACAGCAGAGCTAAGGTCACTGAGGACAACACAGATGACAGTTAGTAACAGAGGCAATGAGACAGAGCGCTGCTTCTCTCTCTGTCTGTTGTCTAGGTATGTGCTTCACATTTTACTGTATTAATAAAGGCCTGCCTAAAACTTTATATTTCAGTATGCTTTCTAATGGCTTTTTGTTCCCGCATTATAACATTATAATCTTACAAAGTGGGTGAAATGTATGGAACCCCCCAAAGAACAACAAAATTCAGTAAAGGGTTATTGGAAAGTAAGAAAAATAAAATATTACAATCAATAAATAATACTGTCAGCTGAATAATTAAAATGGAGTGCAAAAGAAATGTAGCTGTAATCCCCCCCTTTGAAAAGCACTCCAAAGATTGCATGCGTATAATAGTTTTTTTCAAAAGAACATAGAGATCATTAATTCAAAATCAATTTTTTTTGTCAAAACCAAGAGCCTTGATTACCCACAATACAACTCAACCACTGAAAACCTGTAAAACAGATATAAAAATGTCTGTGTGAAATCAGTGGGTTTCCCCTTTAACATCCTGACACGTCTGTTCATCTTTTACTGCCATTTGTCACTTCTGGGATTCCATAAGAGACATATTTTATTTAACTCTACTACAACTACTAATATTACTGATGATAGTCTACTACTACTACCACTACTGCTGCTACTACTCCTATGATGATAATCTTTTATTTATACAGCACCTTTCATACACAAAAGAAGCAATGCACTTAAATAACAAATAAAAAGACATGCAAGAAATGGGAACTTCAAAAACACTGTCCAGCAGAGCCAAGTTTATTTAGTATTGTCAGCTGTTTTTCTACTCTCATGTACTGCCACAGCTTACCTTTCTCTGCTGTGGAAATACTTATACAATAGCTTTATTATGGCGCCATCTCGTGGCCAAACACTAGTGGTGCAACGAGGATTGACACGAGTGAGTGTGGACAAATCTAATGGCCATGATGCGCAATGACAGAGTCCTTACCTCAGAGGAATTTGAACTTCCTGCTTTTACAAATCACCATTATTTCCATCAGACGTGTTTATCTGTTCTTCAGTGCTGTTGTTCCGTTAAAATGAACTGCCTCAAATAACAGAGAAAGTGAAAGGGAGCGAGCAACAGCGCCTCACAGGCGGCAAAGAGCGCTGGCCATGGTGCTGACAGCCCTCTGCTTCCATCCATCATCCTCGAGTCTGACTGTCTGATAGGTCACTATGAGGTCTAAGTGTGAATGATGGATGTTAGTAGCTGATTAAAAGGGAAAGAAAAACAAGAGGAGGACAGATAAACAGTTCACTAAAAAGAAGTTCTATAATTGATAAAGGGCCATGTGTCTTGGAAAATAGTAGAAACCTCTCAGATTCCTCTTTCCAGCCAAAAATTACATGTAGCCTACCTTATGTAACTGATGCTCAAAGGGTAGAGGGGGAACAGTATGAGATAGTCCTTCTTATACCTTTATAAAGAAGGTGGAGAGAAAAGTTGGGAAATCAAACATAATTATATTTGGGAATCCCTCTTCTTCCGGTATCGTAATCATCTGTTTTTTATCCAGCAGAGGGAAATGTGCCCCATTTCCAGAGACCCTGGCAATCTCCCCTGCTCTTGCATCATTTGCTCTCAGTGGAAAGTGCTGGCATTTGTGCGCATGTTCCACAGAACGTTTTGTGTCGTCGTTCATTCTCCATTGGCTCTCTCTCTACTCTGAGCTCAGCTTCACACCGGACCAGCCTTCACGCAGCACAGTGCGTGCGCCAGACGTATGTGTGCATCTAACCCACGCTGCCTGTAACCGGACTGAGCTTCCCACGCTGCTCTGAAGAGGAAAAGGATGGAGAAAAAGAGCGAGATCAACGGACACGCCATGCCCAGCTCGGCCTCCACCGACAGGATCCTGGAGAAAGGCGCGAGGAAGAGTTTCTTGGAGAAGCTGATGGAGTTTCTGAGGAAGAACCTACTGGTGATCATGACGGTGTCCGGGGTGCTGGTGGGCGTCGGGCTCGGCATGATGGTCCGCAACATGAACCTGACCAAAGCGCAGATGACCTACTTCGCCTTCCCCGGAGAGATGCTGCTCCGGATGCTGAAGATGATCATCCTGCCCCTGGTCGTCTGCAGCCTCGTCTCCGGCGCCGCCAGCCTGGACACACGCTCCCTGGGCAAGCTGGGGGGCATCGCAGTCGCCTACTTTCTGGTGACCACGCTGATCGCCTCGGGGATCGGGGTGGCCCTGGCTTTCATCATTAAACCCGGCGTGGGCGCGGGAGCTCTGAACACCAACAACCTGGGGCTGGAGAGTGTCAGCAGCGACAAGGAGACGGCGGACTCCTTTCTGGATCTGGCCAGGTACTGAAGCAACACTCCACCCATCTGCAACAATCTGACACATTAAACACTGATATTTAGGTCACTGGTGAATGAGACGCAAGCTGATGTGACTTTGTAGTAGTTCTGAGGGGAATTGTGGCACATCATGCTCCAGGCGCAATGGTAACACTACACGCATGGAGCGATCCGAGGATTGCGCGCACACACGCTCAGAAAGACATTGGCGGGCGTAGTAAGCAGAGCACATGGTGGTACACTGTGGCATTATTAAAGAAAAACACCCAAGTTATCTTATATGACTATCATAGGATGGGCATTTCATTAATGAGCTATTTAACGCTCTGTTGGTGATGTGTGTGAAAGTATAAGACCCCTTGCAATAAAGTATACAGATGTGAACGGTGATTCCTGCCCCCTAACTCCTCAAAAACATTGACCATGAGAGTGTTGTGTAACTCCTAAAAGTGCCTTGATTTGCAATTCAATTGGCAGGCTCCACAAACTGCACATGTTCTTTCCCAAGTTGACACCATCAAAAAGTCAGTCCCATGCACACAGGCTCTAGCAGCTGGGTAGTTATATCTTGTTACATGAGTGATCACCCCATCATTACAGACTCCTGTCCAGCATCCATCACCTGCAGAAATAATTTTCCTTGAAAATTAACATGTAGAAAAAGCTACTCCCATCCTCAAACTGTTCCTTCAGATGCAGTTTAGCCAAGGGTGGAAAGTAACTAATTAACTAATATACTACACATAAGTCCTTACAGTACAGTTTAGATGTGCTTGTGCTTTACATGACTATTTCCGTTTTGTGCTCCTTTATACATAATTCTAATTTCAGAGGGAAACTCAAAGATCAAGGAAACTTTATTGTCCCATGCAGAAGGTACAACGATGGTGAAAATTCAACAACCCTGATCCACCAACTGTGCTGATAAAAAATAATGAATTAATTATAAAAATAAAATAATATGAATCTAAAAGTAGAATGTAAAAGGTATTAAAATGATATAATTAATGTAAGTGTAAGATTGTGCAAATACGCCAATAAATGCAGCAAAAGTAGACCTTCCCTCGCCAGGATGTGCAGCCAAACAACCATGCAGCAGAAGCTGACAGTGGGTAAAAGTTTATAGCCCGTATGGTTCTGGGGATAGAAGCTCCTTCTCAGCCTCTCAGTTCTTGCTTTGAGGGAGTGGATGAGTCAGCCTGAAGGTAGCCACAGGAACAGACCATGACGACCCATGACAACTTTATGAAATGATGTATTTTCATAGATCAAACTATACAAAAATATATAAAGTGGTTCAAATTAGCTCCAACTCAGCCAACTACAACAGTAAAATGTTGCTCATATGTCAATGCATCAGTCATGCTAATCAAATGTTCTTTATAATAATAATATGAAACACTGGTCTATTTTTCTGTTTTTCTAGTAGTAATTCTGTTGTTGCAGAGTTACTATAGCAACAACACATCATCAGTAAATCTAGCCTGTCTCATGATGGTCTAAACTCAGCTCACGTTCCTTTCAGTGGGTGAACAATCAAGAGTAAGACTTTGAATTTAGCTCCTTCACTAGCAACAGAGTAGCTTTACCAAGCTTTTCTTCTTTGTGCAGGAACGTGAACGGGCTGTTTCATGGTTGACTTCTGCAGAGGCACGTCAAAGATCTTATGAACTGTTTTTGAATTAGCTGAATGTGAAAATGTTTTGTGTAAAGTTAAAAAGAACAGCTACTGGCAGCCTCAGCCTGTAGATATCTGAATGCTCAGTGGCCTTCAGTGACCCAGACAGGAGGAGTCCTAAGAATAAGTTCCCACAGTGTGGGGGGAAAGCTGACAGCTGTTGAAAGAGTGGAGTGTATTTTGAGGAAGGGATAAAGGAATAAACCCCGGCAGTACAGCGTAGTACAAACTGAGCACTGTCTGCTGCTGTTGGCTTTTCAGCCTTATCACGATAGCAGGTGGACAGTCTGCTTTCATTTCTCAGTCTTACACTTTAGAGTCAGACTCTATTTTTGCACTGGGGCCAGCTGTTCAAATCATCAGAGGAAGGATTAGACCAGTACAGGATTGAAAGCCAATACTTTCTTTTCTTTTTATTCCTCTGTGGCTGAGGCTGCACAGTTTAGAGTGTGTTTAAATGGGATAATCATTCAGTGTTTCCCCAGAGATTTTTACCATTCAAAGCATCAAAGTGTTTAACTTTGGCAGACTTGGCGTGATGTTCAAGTGCAAATATTGTCATAATAAGTTGCTCTTTTGCTCTACATGGAGGTTACTGGAACCAAGGTTTCTCTTTCAACTCTCAATACCAGGTGTCCGAATCCCACTTTGAGTTCTGGCGTGTCAAATTTAAAGGTTGATGTGACACAAAGAGAGGCATTTCAGTTTCCCTAAAACATGTAATATTACTTGTTTTGATGTAGAACCAGTATCCACTTTGTACCTGTTCATTTTATGAACTCAAAGTGAGATTAGAGCGACACTGTCCATGTACTGTAATACTGTAACACTTTAGCTAAGTTGGTAACTTAAGGAATATGCTACTCATACTAACTGATTAGCAAAATACTCCTGTAGCACACTGGAATTATTTCTGTTGAAAGACCTAAAGACAGTTCATTAATGTTTTTAGTTATGCTAGGCTCCAGGAATGACATGCAGTGTGTTGGTCGGTCAGCTGGTCTCTCCACCATTTGGCCTGGACTGAAATATCCAGACAAGTATTGGATGGATCGGCATCAGATTTAGTAGATTCATGGTTCCCAGATGATGCATCCTGCTGACTTTGGTGATCCCTTGATTTTTCTTCTGATGCCACCACGAGGTTGACATGTGTTGAGTGAAATCTTTCAGCAACTATTGGATGGACTGCCATGAAATGCGGTACGTAGTCTCCCTGTGCATTCGCATCCTTATCAGCATTAGTTGTAACAACTTTGGTGATCTCCTGTCTTTTCATGTTGCTCCTCCTTCAGGGCCTAGTTTGAATTTGTCCAATACTATGGTCAACAATATCGGCAGCTTGCCCTCTACATTTTCTGATTTGACGTCTCTATGAGCAGGACGACATCATGTCTCTACAAATAATGCTGAAAATAAATCTGTCTTATGAAACGCTCAGGTTAAAGTTTGGTTAGGTTTAGGGAAAAATCATGGTTTCGGTTAAAATATTAATTTGTTAAGGTTTGGGGAATTTAGTTGCCATGGTTACAATAATAAATACATGATTAAGGTCAAGGAATGATGATGCAGTTGATGTATCGCTCTTCTTTGGAGGACACTCCCACTTTGGTCCATGACTAAATTCCTGCGAAACTATTCCGAATCATCCTCAGCTAACGTGCTAATCTAAGATGATAAACATTGTACCTGCTGATCGTCAACATGTTAGCATTGTCACTGTGCTGGTGTTGGCGGTGTTGCTCTGAGCACCGCTGCACCTCACTACAGCCACTCTTAGTCATGTTACATTTATTAGATGTGTCTCTATACGTGAATACCTAGTGCCCAAGAAGTGATGTGTTTTATATTTACACACAACAGCGAAGAAGACTGAAAGAGGCCCTCTAAACCTTATTATTATCACTAGTTGGGCCGGTGACGGCAACACCAAAGCAAGTTTTTACAGTTTTGCATGACCCAAGCTGTCATTAAAACAAAGAAAGTAAGAATATTGCAGATACTGACTGACTTTAATGAGACCATGATTTAAACATTGCGAACAGAGCTGCTGGAGAGAATTACAGGTATGTACATATTTGACAGAAGCTTAACTCCATTCTCTTAAAACTCTTACCACTCTTTATGATTTGAACTGACAAAATGATTTATTCACACAGAATGCAAACACTTTCTGCACACAAATTTATATCATGTTCAAACTCCCAAATAAATTCACACAAAGCATACAGTATATTCGACTTTTTAATGATATTCAGTGATAGAGTAGACATTTTTTATACAAACTGAAAATGTATTAAATTGAACAGGGCTGTGTTTCCAGATTCTGTTTAGGAGATTAAAAATGTTTGATATTGCAACATTTTCTAAACATTACTGTGTCATCATGCCGAGGTTTTCAGGCAGTTTTGCTTCTTTAAAACAAAATGTTTAATTAAATACAAGGATAAAATTCAATAAAGAATAGCTGTTTTATTACATCTGCGTTGGGTGAACCACTCATAATCTGCTGTTGTGCAATAAAGTAGCTTCAACTGTTTGACATAGGATGAAAAAAAAGCCAAAAGTCAACACAAAGACAGAACCACTCCAGACCACATTAGATGAATAAATCTGATTTCTTAAATTTGAAGGATTGTATACGATGTTTGGCTTCATTTAATTAGGAAACAAGCCGTTATGTAACAGAGCTTTAAAAATCAGCCCACAGAAAGGAGGCAGTGGGGCTCTGGCGAGCCTCTGTGGGAAAAGCATGCCAGTTCTCAGCTCTGGTTTCCCAGGGTTAATCCAGATTCTCACCTCGGTCATGTGATAGCAGGAAACCTGACCACCCTCACAGAGAGGAGAAGCGTTTAAGAAATCATGTGTGGCAGCAAGACTTTAACTGAATAATTACATTTCTCTGCAGCATTAGGAAAGAAAAGAAATGACAAAGTGAAGATAACATGGCTACCTGCCAGTGTGGCCAGTGGAGCTACCATATTTAACAGCTGAAGCAGCATTTGGCTCTGGACTGAAGGCAGGGTTGATGGAGGTCAAGGGGTTATGCCTGAATTGCTTGGCTTTGGTCTGGCCATGGGAATAAATGTGAGCAAAGTCTGTATTTCTTTGCACAATACTGTGTGACCCTAGAGGATAAAGTTACAAGAAACACACACAGATACATGGAACAGGCCTTCAGGCTTCCAGTAATCCCTGTGTGCTTTACTTACAGAAGTGAAAATAAACTCAGCATGGTGCCTTCACAGACTGTCAAGAAAGAAGATTTTAAAATGGATTTATAGTGGTGACAAAAAGGACCAAACCAGACTGTCCATCTATAAGATGAATAATGAACTGCCTTCAAAGCTGAATATTATCATAGTGTGGCTCTCATGAATATAGCTCATGAATTGTCACATCACCACCTCATCTCTTACTTCATTTTGATTTTGTTTCTTGCTTAAGAATTTAAGTTACTGCCAAAATGCAGTTGCGGACAGTTTTTGGATTGTACGGCAGATATTAATAATGGGCATTTGTATTTGTCTGATATCCATATCTATGATGTTTAATGTGGAGCAACGTCTGCTGCTATAATAATAATAAAATGTATTTATATAGCACTTTTCAAGTTTTAAAGTGTTGAAACAGAAAGAAAAGGGGAATTTAAAAACAGCAATCAAAAACAAAAGACAAACACATCCTAAAACAGAGGTAAGTTACATGAAAATATAAATTGTCCATATAGTGGGAAAATAAAACACAACATATTGTTAAACACTCCTAAAAGCTTACCAATAAAGGGATGTTTTAAGAAGAGTTTTTAAAGACTCTATGATGCTGCCTGTCTGATCTCAATAGATAGACTGTTCTGCAGTTTATTATGTTTGCCAGATGCTACGGACAGATTTAATGTGTGAGCACAAAGAGCAGAAGTGATGGAAAAAGTCAAACAACACATTAGTGATAAAATGAGACAAATATTTTAACAACATTGAAACATGTTTGTAGCGTTCTATCTGTTGGTCAGTTGGTCTGCCACTTTGGGTCAGACTGAAAACAAAAACGGTAACATGGTGACCCTTAAACCTGCTAAACATCGGGATTATGTCAGCATTTAGCGTTAGCGTTTAGCTTATAGCACCACCTAAGTGCAGCCTCACTGAGCGCTGCTAGCATGACTGTAGAATAATGCTATTGCATAGCTTACTCTCTAACAACTGATTGCTTCACTAACGAACACACTGGTAAACCACATTTATTTATTTTACGAATTGATTTTGTAATATTTTATGTGGAATAGTTGAGTTATATTGAGCTATTAGTCGCCTTAAAGCAATTCCCAGTTGGCCACCAGCTGACTGGATGCTTTCCAGTTCAAATGCTGCAAACTGGTCTGAATGGATTTGATTCATTCTGTAGTGAGAGGAATCAGTTAATTGGTGATGTGTGTTTTCTGGTCAAACAAGGGCTGAATTTTGAAAATGCAACTTTAACAACATTTGCTGTATAACGTATAACGTCTTTTAGTTTTATATAAAAGTGAATCTCCTGTAATATGGTGGCTTTGATGCACACTCCACGGTTTCTGCAGAGTGTTGACTCTATCTGTGCTGTCAATGTGCCATAAACCAAACGCTGTACACAACATGCATGGAAATGGCAGCCTGTGTCTGTGCACACCAATAATACCCCAGCTATTACAGAACTGTCTGTTTATGGTCATAAATATTCATATCACAACCCTAAACCTCAAGACGGTGACTTTAACCTTTAATCTAAAATTACAGTTCCCTGTGTGAGGTGAGGACGAGCTAAAATGCCCTTGGCTGTAAATGTGTAAATGTCAAACTTGTTTTCATAAGGAGATAAGTGCAAAGACAAATTAAGTTTATTATCTAGAGACAGAGCCATGAAGCTAAAGCATGCTGACTCATGTGTGACTGGTTGTGTGGCATCTACAAACAGCAGAATTCAGAGGTAACCACATTTACACCAAATGTGTCTTATAACTTTAGACTTTTATGCCAAATGTGTAAATGAACACAGGGTAACCTCCAGGAATATGTAATCTTAGTAAAGACTTTGCTGATTTGTTTTAATAGAAGATGAACCAGACGGCAGATCAGGGCCAGAACAACTGCACTGTCAGGGAATTTAGGGAGCAGTGGACCCTGGGAAAAGAGCCAAAGTACAGAGTGTGTGATGACAAACAAATCCTGTGAACAATTTACTGTTCAGATGGGTTAACCACTTGGTTTTGAAAGACTTGTCAAGTCTAGTATTCAGTTTTTGTTTTGTCACAGTTTTTAGTATTACCAGAATCCTTGGTTAATTACATGAAATCAAACCGAGGAAGAAGCGTATAGAATAACTCTAACTGTCTGTGGATCTAACTTGTTTTTCTCTCCCCTTTACAGGAATCTATTCCCAGCAAACCTCGTGGCTGCTGCTTTCCGTTCTGTGAGTGCCAGCTCCTCACTTCACCACACTGCAGACTCCATCACTGCTTTCTGTCTGTTTTTCTTTACCACCTGTGTCTAGTGCGTATTGTTCATCAGAATTTATTTCACCAACCACACGGATGCCGCTCCATGTTCATTTTCTGGCTGTAGCGCTGAGAGCCTCTTAATGAGGAGATGTTCAGAATAGAGACCGGCTGCTCTCCGCTGCTCGCCACAATGCCTCTCTTCCTTGTTCCTAACCAGCCGTTACCATGGCGAGACCATTCCATTCCAGCCAGCCTAGCAACCCACCTCGCCTCGCTGGTTTTGAACATGGCCCGCTCCACTTCCTAGAATTATGATCCTGTCTGTTAAGGCTAAAATAAGGAACCAGGAAAGTTCAATATTTGGGGATGATTGGGCGACACAAAATGGCTATGCACACACACACACACACACACACACACACACACACAAAAGATATAGTGTGCACTTACCACACACACACACTGGGACACACACACACTCACGTAATTGAACCGATTGCCTCAAACTTCCCTAAAACCAGGCCAGTGAATAATAAACCTGCAAACAAGTTGTTGACTTCTCACGGGGAGAGTAAATGGAGTTTCAAAGTGCAGTCAGGTCATGGAGTTCAATACTCACCCCCCCTCCCCATCAAGCCTATACAGTGGTAGAGCCCCTGTGGAAAGTGTCCAAGTGTGGATTAAACCAAGAAAGCAGAGGAGAGGGGAGACTTACACAAAATGACAAGCAGCTAGATGTTTAAACAGACATTTAACAAATGTGTACAGCCTGTTTTAAAGTCCACACAGGTCTGTATAGATGCTGGAAACCTTCATCCAATAGAGCTGTTTGACAAAAAGCAGAGAGGGAGGGACAGCGTTGTTGCAGGGCTGTTTGTCTCCTTTTAAAGCAGAGACGCCGTCTTAAAATCTGGCCCCCATCTCACGCATTTATTCTCTTTCTGTCAGTGAGTGATGCAGGTTGAGTACAGAGCTGGAGCTCTGAGGCAAAAGCTTAGCGTAGCATAAAACCTGGATGCAGAGCTAGCCTAAGTTAAACAAATATATACACCAGCAACTCTAAAGTTGCTCAGTAATGTAATCCTTACATGGTGTAACTACTTCTTTATGAAAAACAGAAGCACTAGCCATCAAGAAAACACCAAGTTACACCATGTTACACCACGTTAACTCCCTCTGAAAGCACAAATTCTCAGTTTTTACATTTCAGTTCAGCTGTTTCCTACAGAAGTGCATTGAATTCACCAGAGGAAACAAAAATTGGAGGATTTATCTCATAATTTCCTGAAAAAAAGATCCTGATCTCATATTCTATGACCTGATCATTTTATTGTGCTTAATTGCTTTATTTTGATAGCTGTTACCAAATGTTACCATAGTATTTAGATATAGTCACAGTTTTTGAAAGACTTTTGAATGAGTCTGTGTCCCTGAAACATTGTGTGCTGGTTTAGCTGCAGCTGAACAAACAGAGATCAGAGTTCTGTCTGAACGATCTGAAGGACGTCAGACGTCTGTGTGATGTTGACACACTAATTATTCTCCTTATCTTATTGTCACTCTCAGTGTCTGACACATGAACTCTCAAGTGGTGAGATACTTCTGCTTTTTATTAACCTCGCGTACACAATCATGACTTCATCATCTGATCTGATTGGCTATTTACACAGGCACAGGATTCCACACATTAATACGTCCAACTGCGTCAAACCAAGGAGGAAATAAAATAATTTAACCTGGTAGTGCTATCATGTGATGACTGCAACCACCTTAACCTGTCTCATAATTACGAGATCAGAATCTCGTAAAATATTAAACACCATCTAATAATTGTGATAGTGTTTCCATATTTTATGATTATGATCATTATGAGGTAAGGCCTCAGGTCTCTCACTTTCTTCTTTCATGAATGTAATGTGCTTCTGTAGTTTCCCCCAGCTTCCACTTTTTATCCTAAGCTAACAGCCTCCCTGCTCCAGCTCTGTACTAAGCACATTAACATAAACTTTTCATCTGACTCTGGGTCGAATTCATTGAAGCACCTTCATTTGTACACAAGTGTCCCAGTTTTGAGTTTGACCATGTTTTTGATCGTTTTTCATATATTGCCTGGATCATAACCTGGCTATTCATCTCCTTGTGTCCATAATTGTAACATTGTCCAGGTTTGCTTTATTGACTTCTCCATCTCATGACCAGTAAACAAACAGTAACGAGTGCCCAGACCGTCATCAGCATCATACAGTATCTTTTCTTTAACTGACTGATGTCAGATGTAGATGTCAGGTAGTGATCAGAAACCTGAAGTCCTGGAGTCCAGCTAGCATGGACTCTCAGAATGGAGAGCTGTGTCGCATCCTACAGAGGACATGGTCTACAGAGGTGTGGCCCTTTGTTGCCCAGGAAAAGAAGGCTGCCTTTGTCGGCCGCATTTGAAACAGCCTTCGAAATGGGACAGTCCAGTCACGCCAGTGGGAGACAATCGGTTTTCAAATGCAGCCTCCGAAGGATGCAGCCCCTGAATTGGGACACAGCTACTCACTTATGTAGCTTTCAAAATCCAGGATATTTTATTGACAGGCACTAACAGAGAACTAGGATACTTCACAAACCACATCATACCTAGGACACAAACGCATGTAAACACACTCATTTACTTCCAGTTTACATTAACAGGCACTTGAAATTAAACTTTATTGGCCTCTGTTATAAAGTGGATGCGTATCAGGATACAGAACAGAAATTTGCAGGCATTCGCATGTTGACACAGAAGTATATGAACAAACAGCATCAAACAAGATGACCTAAAACAAGTTTTCTTCCCTTTATGTTTCAGTATGCCACCGACTACAAGATGGTTGCTGTGGGAAATGACACCAACGGGACCACCCTCTATCAGAAGGTACAAACAGGAAAGATCCCCACATGTACAGTCACACATATAACACACAACTACACACACACACACACACACACAAAAATGTGCACCAAATAACCTTGAGTAGATGTTTGGGTTACTGTTAGCATACTATATATGTTCATTTATATAATTATTTTGAATGGTTATCATTTCATGAATTTCCCCCAGGGGATAAATAAAGTATCTATCTATCTATCTATCTATCTATCTGTCTATCTATCTATCTATCTGTCTATTTCATGACAGTACACTCTGATCATGAGAAAAATTTTAAACCAGTGAAAGAGCAGCATTGAAGCGCAGATGGAGAGAGAAACTGTACCATAAGAGTAAGTGCAAACATGCAAAGAGCAAATACCAGCAGCTGAGATGTAACCTGCAGGTTCATCTTAATCAAACACAGTTTTGTTTACATTCTGTTTTTATCACCAAAAGGCACTTTAGGTTTATTCAATACAGCTATCTAAACACAATATTCACGTCACACGTATGTTGAAATATCTCTATACTTGCCAATCAAGTGATTCTGTCAGGATTAAGGTACTAAGGATCCAAATGCAGGCTCTTGGCCAGGGTTGGTTCAAGGATTTGTTCAGCAACAAAAGAAAAACACAGTCTTACTTAAAGGGGTGAGACAAGTCCAATCAGGGGGAAGCAAGAAATCCAAAATCCAAAAACCAAGGCAAAAAACTCAGGAACATAAAAGGATAACAGGAACACAAGGAATCACAAGGAGAACTGATAAGGAACGCAAAGAGACTCCAGGGAAACTCAACAGGGACAAACCAGGAGCTTAACAGACAAACTGACGAATACAGCTCCGAGCAGGAAGTAAAACAAAAGTGGACACACAAGGAAAGCTACTTCAAAATAAAACAGGAAATTTTCAAAAATCCAAACATAAAGTCCATTCAAAGTCCAAAGAAAGACCCCTTCAGGGCGGACCATGACCCATCCCTTCACAGTGCGACTGTGAGAAATGGGAGACAAAAGCCACAGTCCTCCCACTTTATGAAGCCAACAATTCCTAACACAGCTTACTCCGTCAACTTACTCTTACTCAGTCGCTTTCATGTGAATAACTGAGTGCAACATCATGAATGCTTTCAGTAAAAAACACTGTGTCCAACAACCGTTTTTATGATGGTAGGCCTTCGTATACACATCTTCCCTCAGACATGTTCAGGCAGCACTTCACATGATATATAGTTATTAATATAATTCATTTGAAGATACTGAAGCCTTTTGTCTGAAGGTACGTCAGAAAAAGCTTTTATGAAAACTATTTCTTTGTCCTAAATTTTTAAGTAGTCATTTTTTTCACCAATAACTTTAACGTCAAATTATCTGCAGAAATAGAGTCAGAGTTATTGTTTGGCATCTATTTTAACAGGGATGGACACTGGTCTATAGTTCACCGACAAGTTTATTTTTACATTCAGATCTTGCACTTTAAAACAAGCGCATAAAGTCTGTCAAAATCATGTCTGTTTTTCTTGTATCATGAGCTTTCAGTCAGTCACAAACTGTTGGCCATTGGACAGGTCATGTTTACCGAGCAGCGACCATTGGGCCTGTGAGGACGATGATGTGTCGGTCTGAATAGGGAACAAACACAGGCTGGCACAGGGCCTGTTGCAGATTGCCAGTGTCCTCATTACTGAGTGTGACAAGTTTGTTAGTTTGTCAGGAGGAGAGAACAGAAGGATCAAGATATTCGCTGTTGAACAAAAGACTTTTAGACTTAAGGCTTTTTAGCAGCAGTCTGTTTTAAAGATTCTATGCAGCACTGTACTCAAATCATACTCATGTACTAAAGAACCTCTTAAGAATAGATACAGTGCTCCATAACATCAGTCACAGGTTTTTAAGTCGGTCAGAGGTTTCTATATAGGATGATCTAATTTGGTAAATTTTGAACAAACAATAATAATCTTCTAAATCCTCGTACTTTTCCCCAGTGGCCTTGGCTTGGCCACATCGACCCAGTATAGAGGAACAGTTGGGGGATCTGATCCTGGCATCAGTCCGTGGTATTTGTCTGTCATGGGTCATGGTGGACAGTCCCCCGGAGTGCCAGGGGATGAAGCTGGTGGAGCTGTGGGAGAGCTCAGGACAATGGCAGAGGATTGAGCTCAGGATTTGTCCTTGTCCTTATTCATTAACCATCATCCAGCTCACTGAATCCTTCAACTGCTCCCAGACCTGTGCACCCACACATGCACACTCTGTAGCAAGAGGTGTCGTATAAACTACTACAGATTATATCAGCACTAGTCTTTGACAAGCTTACGTCTCCATAATGAGAGGATGGGGTCCAGGTCCAAACTGTTGACTTAAGAAAACCAGTTTATCAACAGACATTTTTAGCCATGCTGGTGGTGTAGCTCATGTGTTAGCACATCAGTCCACCGCTAGAGTGCTGATTAGTTATTTCAAAACTAATGGCAGGATTTCCATTTAACTCTGTGCAGACATTAACAATCTGTGGAGGATTACGTTTGATGTGTTGACAACTATTGGATGGACTGGCACAGACGTTCATTGATCTTAGATCATGTTTGTGGTGATCCTGTGACTTCTCCTCTAGCATCACCATGAGGTTGACATTTCTGGGTCATAGAGACACACCTCAGTGACTGTCAGACGCTCATGTTGCGTACAGGAGAGATTGCAATGACTGAATCTTATTATTTTACACTTTTCTTGTGTTTTATTTGAAGTGTTGATCCATAAGAAGATATATTTGTGGTTTTAAGAACCAAAAACCATCTCAGTGTAGTTTTACATCTCCTCTCTCAGGCTTCTCTCTGGAGCTCTAGGAACAACAGGTCAGTCAGCCAATCAGAGGAGAGTGGGGGCTCTGAGCCTCTCTTCTGATTGTCTGACTGTTTTCTAAGGGATCTAATAAAAATATATATGTGGTGTGGCTGAGAGCAGTGGCTTTGTTGTGACATCACAAAGTCACACAAAGTCCTGACGACTGGTTTTAAGGCTCAGTTTCTGAATACAGGCTGTGTGCATTTCTCTGTGGACTGAGTGTTTTGATACTTTCACAGTATTAATATAGAACCTAGACCTGCTGTATAATCAAACAACACATGGACAGAGACCTTTATAGTATATGGGACCTTTAATTTGAAAATACCTACATCACAAATGACAATCCAATGACCTTCAGCTGTACTTTGTGTGTAGTGCTAATGAGCAAATCTTAACATATCAACACTCCTAACATGATGGTAAACCTGCTGCTAAACATCAGCATGCTCACATTCATCATCCAGTCATCCTTCCTACAGTCTTTTCCCTTGCCTCTGTGTGAGTCTTGCCTCTGCTGTGTATTTTTAGGTTCCTGTTGGTACAGAAACAGATGGCATGAACATCCTGGGTTTGGTTTTGTTTGCCATGGTGTTCGGTGTGGCGCTGAGAAAGCTTGGAGACGAGGGGGAGGAACTCATTCGCTTCTTCAATGCATTCAATGAGGCTACCATGGTGCTGGTGTCCTGGATCATGTGGTGCGTAGAGTGGTATTAATAGTGGTATATTTGGACTGCATCATATTTTGTAAATATTCATATAGAAACTTTTTCCTTCCTGTATTTTTATCGTGTCTCTCAGGTATATCCCTTTTGGCATCATGTTCCTGGTGGGCAGTAAGATTGTGGAGATGGAGGATGTGGTTCTTCTGGTCACCAGTCTGGGAAAATACATCTTTGCTTCGATCCTGGGACACATTATCCACGGGGGCATCGTCCTGCCTCTCATCTACTTCGGCTTCACACGCAAGAACCCCTTCAGTTTCCTGTCAGGCCTCATCACGCCCTTCACCACTGCCTTCGCCACCTGCTCCAGGTAAACTGTCACAGCACAGGGTTCCTGATGAACAGTACAGAAAGGGAAAAAGGAAGTTGTCAGAGGGGTGTGATTCCCTAAAATTAAGAGTAGTAGCACTGCACAGTAGTAGTAAGACACACATTATAAAATGAGTAAAAAGTAAAGCTTTGTAGCTTTAACTTTGATTTAACTCTTGACACCCTGACCTTCTCTCCTTCCTTTTGCACACAAAGAAGAACAGAATCTGGTGGGTTGCAATGAAATTTACGGAGCACATTCATGCTTTGAAGAGGGCAAACATTACTCTTGTGCCACATATCTGAGCACATGTTATGTCATAATAAATTGAACACATTCAGATTCTGGGGTACAATTGAGTTAATGACCCCTGTGACCTTTGTTGTAGCAGCATTCTTAAGACAAACTGAACATTTTTACCACCAGATAGTGTGATGTTCCAAGTCTAGTGATCTACTGGACAATGGTGCTTCTCTGGGCCTCTAGTGCAGCTTTAAACATTTAGTTTTGTTTTTACCCTAAGACCTTAAGACTCTGCTGTACATGATGAATAATTATTTTTAAGTTGATCATTTTACAGTGGAAGATAATATCATCTAAATGGGCCATAGACCAACTTTTGCAAGTAAGCAGCACATACAAAGCAAAGTAAGACCACAATTGCGATCATACTTTCTGTTTCAGTTCATTAATTGTATTTTGTTTGATCATATTTTAGTCAGATGAAGTGGCACATAAAAAACTGTAAAACATGATTATTTACTGTACACATGTTCTCACATATTTGCATCAAATAACATGAATCATGTTTTGCATTTATAAAGCCTGCACCTGTCATTTAAATATCAAATCTCTTAATTAGGCTGAGGCGATATCCAAAATTTAGTATCTTAATACAGTCCAGCCTAAATATTGGGATATACAATATTATTGCAGGGTCTGCCTTTCATAGTATAATATATTACAATGTAATATATTTATATTGTTGTATTTTATGTTTCAGGTGTTTTTTTTATAATGCATAATTATATCATTGTATTTTATGTTTGGTATAAGCACTGCTGCCACTAAACAGCAGTTTTATTTGTCATGTACAGTAAACAAAGCAGTGAAATGAGGGTTGGACTCGACAGACTGTGCAAAACTGCAAAAATGCAAATGCGATATTATGAAAAATATGACATATGGTGGTAAATATCGTGAAATTTGATATTATCGAATATTGGCCCAAGATTAATCTTAATCCAGCTATATTATATGGTTTGCAGTGATTTGGGGGTGAAGAAGCTTGAATGTAAAAAATGTTAAATGGTATTGATTTCACATGAATGACTGACAAATGATCTCACTCTATGCACTGTATGTCTCTCTATGACTCACTAGTTCAGCCACTCTTCCCTCTATGATAAAGTGTGTTGAGGAGAATAATGGTGTGGATAAACGCATCAGCCGCTTCATCCTTCCCATTGGAGCCACAGTTAACATGGATGGGGCGGCCATTTTCCAGTGCATCGCTGCTGTCTTCATCGCTCAGCTCAACAATGCTGAACTGAACGCCGGACAGATCTTCACCATCCTGTGAGTCCTGATGATAAAACGTTTCCTCCCTTTTTCTGTTGCTTCTTACGTTATTGGTATAAGTGGTATTTTTTTGTTAATGGAATTATTTACCAACATCTCTAGGGTGACAGCCACAGCCTCCAGTGTCGGTGCAGCAGGCATCCCAGCCGGCGGCATCATCACCATCGCCATCATCCTGGAGGCCATCGGCCTGCCAACCAATGACCTGTCCCTCATGCTGGCTGTTGACTGGATTGTGTGAGTAAAGCTTGTGAACCCAGTGACTCTCGTATTAGAAAACACACAAAGCTACAACTGATCACATACACATTGCCAACATCACAGTAAGAAAAGCTAGATCAGGGTTTCCCAAGAGGAAGGTCGACAGATGGGAAGTATAAAATCTGTTAAAAATCACTCTGTTGTAATTTCCCCAGTAAGTCTGTTGTAATTTCCCCAAGCCCCACTGTTTTGTAGTGACAAAGCAGACATACATAATCATAATATATATAAAGTGAAACATGAACTTGCTGAAATACATTAATGTTTTCCATTTGAAAGACCATTCCTGCTTCACAGCACAGGTCACAGGTGGAACAAAAGTCTGGCTTTCAAGGGCCTCTACACGCTCTCATGTTTCTGGAACAAAAACATCTGAGTTTTGAAGATAAGACACTCGAGTTCTATCAGTGTTGTTGTCATTCCATGTATTCGCTGGAAGGGGCTGACAAGGAGGACTATGTCCCTTCTTTTAATTTTCTTAATGAGGAAACTGTTCTTTAACTTTAGAGATTATCATTGTATAATTGTTACTATACCTGGTATATTTGGGTTATTATGGAAACCACCTGGTTTTATTCTATCCAGTTTTATATTTGATTTTATTAGAAGAACTGTTGTCTTGTACCACAATTTATTATCATACCTTGTTTTATTACTGTAATCACCGTTTTATAACGAAGTGTCAACCTCTGGGGTAAAAAAGTGAAGCCAACACTGAAGTACTGTATGGGGGGTGAAATTTTATATAACTCACCTGTTTACATTTCATTGAGGCTTAAAGTTATGAATGATTGAAGGCGTGGGCACTTTTAGAGACAGGTGGGTAAACTATTTTCTTGGCTCTACACAGGTCCCACCTCTTTGTCCATTTTTGATTAGCTGGGAGTTAGGCGGAGTCAGACACTGCCAAGATGGCGATGGCAGAGCAGCTCAATTCGAGCTTCAAAACCACTCTTTGTTTCATCCATCTTTCTATACAGTCTATGTCTTTGACTGTCTCACATTCAACATGTTCATTGTGATGTTGTCTTATGTGATGTAGCGGCTTGGAGATGAAGACAAGTTTCCCCTTGCCTTACCTAACCTTTCCTTACCTTACCTTGCCTTTCCTTACCTTATCTTACCTCACTTTACCTATTTACGCTAATGATTATAACAGGTGAAAGATGATTACTCTTAAGATCGGCACCAATTTTAGCAGTGTAATTTAATTTGACATATTTGCTAAAAGAAGACTGACTTTTGCTGTCTGACTGTCCACGTTGTGTACAGGGATCGTACGACCACTGTGGTGAACGTGGAGGGTGATGCTCTGGGTGCTGGAATCCTCCACCACATCAACCAGCAGGAGATGAAGAAAGAGCAGGAACAGCAGCAGGACGGGGAGCTGGCAGAGGTTCGGGTGGAAGCAGTAGCCAATGTCCAGGCAGAGGAGGAGACCTCGCCACTAGTCATGCACCAAACCAAAGCCTTAGCGGCAACGCCGGAAGCTATTGAGTCTGTCCTGTGAACTCAGCAAGACTTTTTTTCTTGCCCTGTGACCTTTCGACATTGCTGCTGATGGGACACAATTCTCACTCAGTGTCCATTCAAAAAAAAAAAAAAAAAAAAAACGGAGGTCACTAATGGTTTCCCTTGTGAGGAAAAAAAGTGCCATAGTAACAGTTTGTCTAGAGCATTGATGGTCCACAGTGCACTTACTGCTGCTGTTTTGAAATTTGGTCACTTGGGCTCATGTCCCCATACTTGGGTTTCCATCCAAGTATTTTAATGCAGATTAGGATATAATGGATTTAAAAATTCTGAAATTTTGAAAACAGTTCCTCAACACTGCTAAACATTTTTTTTAAATTTTCACTCAAGGCAGATTTTCTTTTCTTTTTTTTTTTTTACATTTTGCGATAAGCAGCGATGGAAACACAGTGTGAAAAATATCCCTAAAACATTCCCATAAATGTCATAGTTCTGTTTGTCTCATTAACCGTATGAGATGCTCATGGCCACAAGTTTGTATGTTAGAACATTATCAAGTGCATTTCTTTGTTTTGTATCCTCAGACAGCAAATACAACGACCAACATTAACTATAGAAAACTAACTATTTGCCAAAATCCGATAATTGAGAGCAAGTGCTTGCGAGTGTCTGTCATATAATCACATGTTCAGGAAGTCTGTTCAGTCACTTCAACTCATCTGATGGAAACAAAATCCTGTCTTTCTCTTAATCAGATTGAAATAGGAACTTTTGCTCCCAGGTTTAATAGTTGTCACAATCTGAAGAGATGTTTACATGATGTGCCCCGGCTTGTGTTTGCTGACCATCAGCTGACAATGTCAAACATTAACCCTTCGAATGAAAGGCCAAGAATTTGACCTATTTGTTGGACAAGCCTAATGCAACGTGTTGACCCAGTCTAGCGACTCCCTAGTGACCCAGATGGCCCAGTATGGTAAAGAATCTTTAACGCTCGACCATTTGGAATAGTAAGGTTAACATGTATGCTTTGCCATCATGGTCTAATCGTGTTTATCCCTAAGTAAACAGAGTGTGGGGTTATTTAAATAAACATGGTTCACTGAGTCTCTCTCAAGGAAAACGACCTCATAAATAACCAAATGCAAACAGGATAAGGTAAAAATGTCACCTGCCTTTATTTCTCAGCTAATATCAGCATTTTACAAGCAAGCTTTACAAATGTGCTTCTGCAGTCTGTGTACAAATAATGGCCATCCAAGCTAGCTCTCAAAAGTTGCATTTATGCACCAAGGAGTCTGAAAAGCAGCTTGTTTGTTTTGAGTTTTGTTTTGCTAATTAGACGGCTAAGACAATGTTAACATGCAGCTATCAGCTAATTCTCTTATTTCTTAGCTAGCGTTTGTTTAGCTAATGTTCATATCAAGTGTTTTTAAGCTAAACAACAACAAACTAAACTAAAAGATACTAGATTTATTTATGGTGAAAAACCCAGCTCCCAGTCAAAACCAGAACAGAAATTAAGCTAATCCAATCAGTCCTGTTGAGACAGCGGAGAAAGTCAATGTGCTATTCTTTTCCAAAAAGTTGAAGATCTTTAACATGGCTGCCAGTGAGTGCGTTATTTGAAGGCGTTCATGAGCTTATAAGATACTGTTAAAGACATAGTCATGGCCAGAATTACAATTGACAGAACATTGGTTTGCAAGTTCTGTAAACACCACTTGTTTGACATCATGAAAACACTCCAGGCTCCCACGTATTAAAGACCACTATTTGATTTATAAATGTCAGTAGTTCCAGATGGTTTTGTTTAAGGAATCTTAGCAAATCCATAAGGAGTTCACTCAAAACTCAAAGCTTCATCAAATGTTTACGCACAGAATGTGGACCAAACCGAATGCTGACTGAACTGAATACTATACGCCATTAGTCTGTGAATCCATCCTTTGGTTTCAGAGGGATTTTTTTCTCAGTGGTGTCTCAAAGGCTTGCACCATATTAACCTTCATAGGAACTAATATGAATATATTGTATTGAGTGCATCCTATGCTATGTAACAATCCATGAATCTTACCATGAAAACCCCCCAACAATTTCTCTCTTACTGGCTAAATTTCAGGGAAGGAATTAGCACAGTGGCTGATGACACATCTTTATTCAGTCAGTGGGATAAATTATTAGCTGTGGTCGCTAGATCACTTTAAAGGGAACATTGGTTACTGCCATTATCATAGTGTAGATACTGCTCCAAATAAGTGACTGGTGCTTTTCCTTAATGTAGAGACACAAACCCTGCCATAGTTGATGTCCATACAATATGGAATATGGTTTGACATGCAGTAAGCTGTGCCAAATTTCTAATGGTTTAGCAGAAAGTCTACCTTTAGGATACAGGACTTGAGTGACAGGATGAGTCTGTGCTGTCCTCTAGTGGTGATGGGTATTAATGTGAAAGTTCAGAGGTAAAAAAGTTAGGGTGATTGCAACTCAGAGCTTTTGTGTCCATCTGAAACTCTCATTAGTTTTCAGCTGACATTGCTGAATGAAATTTCCTATTTATTTGATCTATTATTTAACATTCATAGGGAATGACTGGTGATGCGACCGCTCCTTTACTCAGTCTCATGATGTAATACTGTATTTTAAAGTGAAGACCACTAAGAGGTATAGGACCTTTATGTATGTGAAATGAATTTCATTCATGTTGCTGTCACTTCATGCCTGAGATGCTCGTCATGACGTAGTGGAGCTGCTTTAGTTTTGGATCATAGTGTGTATGTTGAAACTGTCTGCTTTAAAGATGAAATATGAACTAGTATGTCTGAAAATTTCTTACTCAACATTATCATTTGAGATTTCACAGATGACTTTTCTAAGCTACCAACTGCTCTGTTAACCTATGGCTGACTTTTATGATTAGGTTTTGTTGAGTTTATCTGGTACAATCACATGTAATTAAATGCAATGTGGTACACACCATATATATATAAATATAAATATATTTGATATTAATTTATTGTAATTGTTTTAACTTTTGTATTATTTGTACTTTCTCCTTTTAACACTTTCTCTCTGTGTCAAATTTTTATTGTTATGATAAACTTTTTAAATGAATTTTACTGAACAGTGTTCCTGATAACATCTTTAATTTTTGTCATGTTGTTTTTGTTTAGGAGTACCTGCTACTTTGCCTGTGCCGTGTCAATGTCTAACACGTTACAGCTGTCTCTTTGCTGTTGGTCCTGCTGTCTGTCCACATTAAAGGTGATACAGTAAAATTTTTCATGCAACCAAAATCTATCTATTTTTAACCGTTTATTATTAGATCATAATGTTATTCAGGACATTACAGAGGAGATGTCAACCTAAGCTCTTTGTCTGACTGCATGCAGCTGAATGAAGAAGGGACAGCTTTGTCCTTGAGAAGTTGATTATCCTGTAGACTGTACTGCCCTTTAAAGGATTTTTTAGCACCAGGCCCATTTCACATGAGTAACTGATGGTATTTTAAGTGGTATTTTAAGGGGTAAGGGGTTTTCTGAACACCCCTCACATCAGTGCGGGGGTTGATAAAGTTGCCAGTACTGACTGACATTTCTGCTTCTGCATTAAAATGTCAATTTCTACCCGTGCTTTGTTACACTTAACTTCACCTGGCAACTCACTCATACCAATGGAAAATCTTGTTGCTATTATTATTAATAATATAAGTTTATTTATATAGCAATTATCAAAATCATAGATTACAAAGAGCTTCACAAGGATAAATAACACAACAAACAAGAAACATGGAGACAAATTACTCAAATTTAAAATATTGTGGGTTTACAAAACATGGGAACATCTTCAGCCAGCAGTGGGCAGTTCAGTGCTGCTGTAGCAGCAAAAATACTACAAATATATTGATGACTTGAACAGTAGGTATCAGGATGAGGGAGCAGCAGCAAGGATGTAGCTCTCTGGTGAGGAACCTCCATCACATCTGGCTGTGTGTGAGGTGCCTCCATCGCTGCTGTCTGCACTGGTGTCAGAGCTTGTTGGAAGCAACCCCACAGTTGTTGAGTGACTCCTTCAGGTTTAGATGCGGCAGATGGAAACAAACAAAAACAGTTAGTCCAATTAGACTTCACAAAACAAAAACAAAACAAGATGCTGCTCCTGCATTGCGTAATATTTAGACACACTAATATTGGATAAAATCAGAATTTACAATTTGCAATTACTGATAATTACTACAACCATTATCAGTGTCCCCATCTCCTCTCTGTCTACTGGAATTATTTCCGTTATATGCTGATTCTGATTCAAGCGCAATTGTAAAATTCCGATATTCTTGAAGGCAGCAGGGATGATGCTGCCCTGGATCCATATTACCTTGCTAGCAGGTTGCAAGCTAACTGAATACAGGCGGTACTGTGCGGCTACATGGGGATGTCCCACCCTTTCTAAGACAAGTTGAGGACTCCGTGGTTTTTATCGGCTCTTCACAAGCAGGACTAACTTCCAAACTTTGGCGAAATGACGACACGGTCAGAGAGAGAAAAAGCCCAGAAACTGAATGAGCAGCATCAGGCCATTCTGTCTAAACTGCTGAGAGAAGAAGACAACAAGTACTGTGCTGACTGTGAGGCAAAAGGTAACCCTGACAGTCTTTGCTGTAAACCTCTGTCAGAAATGTGAGGGCGAAAAGATGAAATGATGTGGGAACTTGGTAGCTAACGGCTTGCTAAAACTAGCAACATATTGCAACGTTATTGAGATGGGAGTCACTTATGTTTAGCTAGGCTCACATCGTCTCAGCCTTGTTGCTGAATAACAAATTGCGTAATAGGGATTAAAATATTTTTTTTCATTGCGTATATTTGTATTGTACAATGCAAACATTCTGGGTTATTGTTTGCCCAGTCAGAATTAAGACAAAATGAATAATATTTAGCGATATTTGTTCAAGTTGCAACAAAATACGTGTAACTTCCGTTTAGCACTTTCAAAGTAAAATCCTCACTGGGTTCTTGCATTACTTTTTTTTTTAACAATAAAAAAAATGAGGCAGGAAATGTCACAAGTAATGAGCCATGTTGGCAGATAATTATATTATTAGTATTTTAAGTATATTTTAAGTATATTAGTGAAGTATTTAAATGATATTGTTATACATGTATTGTAAATTCAGGCGAGCTATGAGCTATGAATTAACACTTGGACTAGCCTTATTATTATGATTATTTATGTAAAACGGGGTTTATAGTTGAAATTACACTGAATACCAGCAACAGAGTACATGATAGGGAACGCTGTGATTTTAATTGATCACTAATGCATGTTTTTCTTTTGGCTCTTAAAATGTGCTTTTATTTTGAAATCAGACGGCCGCTTATCCCGGTTTTATAATGTTTAACTATTGCTGATTTGACACAGGTTTGCCCGACAGTATCGGTGTCATGTCCTTGACTGGATTATTTATGAGCGGAAAACATGCGTGTCCTGTGTAGGCAACATTGAATTAGAGATGTACATCGTTCGTTGAATGTCAGAAAAACACATCAGCATCATATACTGTAGGTTTTTTGCAGCTGCAGCCAACACCTCACGTCTCACTGGCGATGCCCTCTTGCAGAGCAACCGCCACCCAAACTCCATTCAAAAATTTAAAAGTTTAATATTTAATTGCACAGAGTCTAAATTACATTTTGATAGAATATGTTTCAGAACACGTTAGGAACCAGTCTTCAATTCGGCATACATGAAATTCACTTAACAATACTGTATTACAACAAGATGTAAACTTTATGCCTTTTAATGAATGCCAGAAATATCCGAATAGACCTGTATCAATTTAAAGATGACACATTAATGTAATAATGTTTTAAACAATTGATCTAGCAAATGTTCGTGACCGTTGGCTAAACGTCTAAACCTAGGTTTACGTGTGGGAGTATGACATTCCCAGACTTTTGAGTGGATTGTGAACGGCTCGTATCGGGGCTACCTATGACTGAGATTAAATTCCTTTTGCGTCAACACCATGCCTATGCTGCCATCTGACAAGTGTAATCTGTAGTACCACACCTCCCTCAGTCAGCGAATCTGTTTCGATCGTGATTTGCCACAAATTGCTGCTGATGCTGCTTTTTTTTTCTCTGTTCAAGTAAAATTTTAGTTGTATCCGTGATGTTAATCTAAATAGCAAATAGCATTTCATGATCCTAGCCTGGTATTGTGTCTGAAGGTGTAAACCTAAACCTAGATTACACACAGTTCTGTTTGCAGAACAGAGTAGCCTACAGCAACCCTTTCAGACCTAACTCAATTTGCAATACAAACACATTATATTTAAATTAAGTAAAGTCTGAGTTTGCTCAGTTTTCATAGAGAAATGGTCAGTGTAGCTTTAAAGTCCAACTGAAATCAAATAGTTATTTTCTGCTACAGAATAACATGACTATACTGTGTAAATCACTTGTCCTGTGTTCTCCTTTTAGAAAACAGTCCACAAGGGAGAAATGTATTTATGTTTATTTTTTGGCCTTATGGTGGCACCCCTTATTTTCCTGCTTAAAAACAATCAAGGATTTGTGTGCAGCATTGAGGAGGAAAACACACTTCTACAATGGCAGATTATCTTATAACCACATGCCACCTTTAGTAGACAGCTAACATGACCTATTCCAGTGAGATACAGCAGCTATAGAAGCAGTTGTAATGATGAATGAGGCTATACACAAAGTTAGCTCCATAGGTATAGAGAAATGATATGTGTGCGTTCAAAACACACAGATGCTGCAAGACACCAGATATATCCAAGATGTGCCACACTTATGCAGAAACTCATGTCAGTGGTGACGGCAGTGTAAACAGGCCGAGCTTCAAGATTATGAACAACGTGATACATTTTCCATCCATAGTCATAAGTCTGTTCTCTATCAGCCGTCACGGATTCCCAAATTGAAACTTTAAAGGCATGTCAAACACCGAGCCTTAACAATGTTCATTAAACAGCCATAAACACACAGTAACAGTGTGAGCTGTCTCACCTTACAACAGGTGTTTATCCCTGCTGTTTCTGTGTAAAACCACCAACAGCCTTCATGAAATCCATGACTCTTATCAAATCAATGGAGCTAACAGCTAATTCTGCTCTCTGAGCTAACAGGCAGGTGTCCTTTGTGAGACAGTGAACATTTTCTACTTAATATTTTTGTGATTGGTGCAGTTTTAGGAAAAAAACATGTTGAGCTCCTCATAAGCTTTTTGAGTCATTTTCTGCCTGTGTGTGCATCTCACTGATGATGTTACTGGGAAACCCAAGAAGGGTCCGGCTGCGGCCTGTAGACCAAAGTGTGAGCTTTAATGGTTAATTGGAGGACTGTGACGTCGCTATTAGATCTAGGTCAAAGTTCATTAGAAAAGAAAATGGCAGTGAAGCACAGGTGCAGCTAAAGCAGCAGGTAGATAATCACAGCTTATTGCAGCTAAAGTTGAACGTATCATTTTATTGGACAAATAAATAAAATTAAAAACATTTAAAAAAGAACAGTCATTTATTGCAGCTGTTGAACCTTTGCTGAGTTAGATGCAGTGTCAGTGTTAATCTTGAGACAGCAGTAAGCTAATGTTAACTTAGCCGCGAGCAAGCTGTGTGTGTGTGTGTGAGAAAGAGAGAGGTACTACATATGATGATATTGTACAAATAATAAATGGTATTTATTGCAGGACTTTTTTGTTTAGGAGTAATGTTACTAGCTACAGCAACTAACGTGTGTGTGTGTGTGTGTGTGTGTGTGTGTGTGTGTGTGTGTGTGTGTGTGTGTGTGTGTGTGTGTGAGACCTGACATCATTTTGTGATAAAATCTTGGCCAAACATGTTTGTCAATGATAGACATGTTTAATTTCATCCCTTGGCCACTTTATTGGTTCAAATTATTTAAGCAATGACAAAGTTACATTATCTACTTCTCAGCACTGTGTAGCAATCAGGGCCAGCTGACTGGGCAAGAGAAAAAAACTAATTGAATACATCTGCTTTATACAAATGCTTCCATTTCAGTTTTCTTCCATTAAGATTTGTCTCTACATTCTAGGTGTGACTCCAAACTTAGTTGTGGCTGCCCAGTTCATTTAATGAGACTGATGGCTTTAAATCTTTTAAGTTGCAGTAACACAATACAAACAACCATGTCTGAAACAACTTTAACAGTTTATTTAGTTTAATGCGGAGCGCTCATAATTGATTGCATAACATTTAACTGTTCAAACATTTCCATGTTCACAACACTATTCTCCACTTATTGATATTTCACTCCAGTGTTCATGAAAACAAATACAAATAAGTTCTCTCAAGATGTTTATCTGACTGAGTCACATACATGTCAACAGACTGTTTGCAGAATGGCTGCAACTGCTCCACCACTGTTACAGTATCAAAATAAAATCCAGTATCAACTCTAATAGAAACCATTCAGCTCATTTTATAGTTTGTCTGTATCTGGTTTGCTGCTATAAATATGTAACACAACAAAAACAGCAAATTAGTTTAAAAAATAGTTTGTGTGACTTAAAGGTTGGCACTTAAGCCTTGTTTATACGTTGAATTGCTGTACCCTATGCTGTAGCCTCACGTGCACCTCCATAGAAATGTAATTACATGTCGTGGTGACAAGTGTGATTGTTCTGCTTGGTAGCTTTTCTTGTCCATGTCTCTAAGTGACTGGACAAGCACTGAAAACTCAGTCAGTTCAGTGGTCGTACACACCATCTCCTCAGATGTCTTTTCTTCTTTGCTGTAATCAAAGTTAAAGTAACTGTTTATTAGCTCCAGCTCCAGCTTGATTCGCTCAGTTTCAGTCAGCATTTTTTTAAAGTACACACACAGTGAAATGGAAACCCCAGCGCCAACTATCGTTTTGGTGTTGTAATTGCAGAGTGATGCAGACACACCGGCGCACGAGTATAAATACCCACAATGGCGTTGGCTCTGCATTGATCCTACGCAGAAGTATGAACCAGACATAAGGCTTACCACCTTAAAATAATGCCTGAACCCAAGTCAGAATTAGGCGATTTTTTTCTGTTCTTCCCGTTCTGCTGACACTGTGTGAATGCATCACTCTTACACTAATAACATGCTGTCTGCCATGACTTGTGGGTCTGTAGTTTATTTGCTTTGTCTCTAGTTCCCCTGCTGGTGTTTGATTCTGGTACAGCCCCAGTTGGCTGAAGAGAAGGTGGATTTCTTGAGCTATAGTTAATATTTACTCAGGATTTTAATCTTCTCTCACTCCCCTATTTATTTGTGTATTATGTTTATTATTTTTTATATGTCAGATCAACTGGTCAGATTTATCTGTAAATGGAGTATTTGAATTGGCTGTGGTTCAACACAAACAACATCATTCTTCTGCAAACCGTGGCTTTCCTTTGTGATTAGACTGACAGGACACACAATTAAAGGTTTTTGTCAATATGATTTTCATAATGGAAATAATCGTTTGATAATGAAAGCCTTGTAAACAAACCTTCACTGATGCCTGCCGGGTAGGAGAGTGGCTGTATTTGCTGTTGTGCTTTGTTAAATTGGTTAATGTGGAGAATGTGTCTCTTTCTCATGTGAGCTGATTTACAGTATTTATGGGGCAT